CAACCCTGATTAGATAATGCATCCTGTAAATGTTTAGGGATAGATATAGTAGATAATTGAGAGGTAAAACAAGAGAAAATAGGAGATAAGGCATCATATGAAACAAAGTGAGCAATGGGATGATTAGTAACACACGAACGAGTACCTTTTCGAAGAGCAATAGGTAAAGAGTCTAAATTACCTAATGGACTAGGACCAAAAGGTGGCAAGGAAGACGGTACGGACACCTCAGTCGATGATCGAGGACAACGAGAGTATACATGAAGAGGTAAAGTAGACTGTAATATAGTACGCAGAGAAATATCTGAAGATGAGGGAAGGAATGGTGGTACAAGAGGTGACTCAAAGTCCAGATCCAAAGGCTGAGAAGGTGCTAAAAATATGGAACAGATTCTTCAAATGTGACATTGACACTAGTAAAGTATTGTCGCAGAGAAGGACTATAGCAACGATATCCTTTCTGTGTGCGGGAATAACTAAGAAATACACATTTGATAGCTTGAGGATCAAGTTTATCAAACCCAGGACCCAAATTGTGAACATAACAGACACATCCAAAAACCTTAGGAGTTAGGGTAAATAAGGGCTTACCAGGAAAAAGGACAGAATATGGATTTTGTCCATTTAACACAGAGGATGACATACGATTAATAAGGTGACAAGCAGTGAGTACAACATCACTCTAAAAGTATCGGGGAATATTTATCTGAAATAACAGGGCAAGGGTGACTTCCAACAAATGACGATTCTTGCGTTCAGCAATACCGTTTTGTGAAGATGTGTAAGCACAGGACGTCTGATGAATAATGTCAGTTTTATTAAAATAAGTTGAAAAAGGATTAGATTCATATTCCTGAGCATTATCAAAACGTAAAATACGTATACGACAACCATACTGAGTTTTTTTTTCCTTACGAAAGTTCTCAAATATAGAGAATAATTCAAACCGAGCTTTCATCAAAAACAACCAAGTCACACGAGAATAGTCATCCACAAGACACAAAATAAGGATATTTATTAGATGAAATATTTTTTATTGGACCCCATACATCAGAATGTACCAACTCAAATGGACTAGACACACGATTATTGACTCTGAACTGAAATAACACATGGTGATACTTACTAAGTTGACAAGTTTTACAAGACAAAGACAATACACAACTAAGACTGGGAACTTGACGCTTCAGATTCTGGAGAGAGGGATGTCCAAGGCGATAATGTCATTGAAAAGGAGACAACGAGGTCTGTAGAACCTGAGTAGGTGAATCAAAATCAAAGTAATATAGGCCACCGGCTTCATGCCCCGTACCAATCTTCCTCTTCGTCTTGAGAACCTGAAAGACACAATAAGAGGGATAAAAGGTTACAGAATAATTAAGAGAACGGGTAATCGTACTAATGGAAAGTAAACTAAAAAGAAACTGAGGAACAAAAAACACTGATGATAAGGACACATTAGGACTCAAGTGAGTAGTCACCAGACATGAAACTTTAGAACATGTACCATTAGCAAGAGTAACACTAAGTGTGGAAGTAGCAAATTGATAAGTAGAAAAGACATCAGACGCACCAGTTATGTGGTCAGAAGCGCAGGAGTTTATGACCCAGAGACTACGAGTGGAGGACAATAAACAAGTGGAAGCAGTACCTGCCTGAACAAAAGTAGCAGTGGAGGGAGATGGAACAGCCTGTTGAGGGGACAGGAACTGGGCATACTCCTCTCGACCTAGTGTAATAGTAACTGACCCAGTGTCTGGTGGAGGTGACTGAGGTATGGAAACAACAACTGAGGTATCATCCTGATTAGCAGAACTAGAAGATTTTTCATATAAATCCCAACAGAAGTCAACAATGTGTCCTCCACGACCACAGTGAGTACAAGAACAGGATCCACTATGGCCCCCACGACCACCAAGAGCTGAGCGATCAGTAGAGACACCATGATCGATGCCTAAAGGAGAAGACAATGTAGCACTCTATAAACGAGAGAAAACCTCGAGCAGTGATGGAAGACTAGAACCACCCAAAATCTGAGAACGAATAATCTCATATTCAGGTTTCAATCCTACCAAAAACCTAACATTCAAGTCCTCATGTTGTTTCTGTCAAACTGCTGCATCAGCAGTAAAAGGATGATAGGTCTTCATCTCCTCACAGACTCCCCGAACATGATAGTAATAATCTGCAAGACTCAGAGTACCCTGCTCCAATCGAAAGTACTCCTTGCACACCTCATACGTAAGGGTAAAATTACCTGAACCAGAGTACATAGTAGCCAAATGATCTCATATCTCTTTGGTAGTATCAAGATAGAGCAGAGAAGAATTAATACTAGGCTCAATGTTATTCAACAATAAAGAGATAATCTGAGCATCCTCTTGTTCCCACTGATCATACCCAGGAGTGTCTTCCTTAGGTTTAGGATTCACCAAATATTTCTTAAATCATTTACCTCGAAGAAAGACTTGAACAGATCGGGACCATAAAGTGTAATTAGTCCCATTGAGTTTGACAGAGGTCATGGGACCATTGATAAGAGTAGGAGGAGGCAAAGATGGAGTAAGGGACGTGGTATTTTGCTTGGGTTCTATAATAGTGCAGCAAGAAATCGGGGCTGGACCACTGAACCGGATCAGTTGGACCTGCTGGAGGACTGAACCAGGCTGGAAATAGGGGCTAGATCACTGAACCGGATTAGTTGGACCTGTTGGAGGGTTGAACCGGGCTGGAAATAGGGGCTGGATCACTGAACTGAGTTGGAAATAAGGACTGGACCACTGAACGGGGCTAGATATATAGGCTGGACCATTGAACCGGGGCGGAAATTGGGAATGGACCACTGAACCGGGTTGGAAATAGGGGTTGGACCACTGAACCGGACCAATTGGATCTGTTGCAATACTGAACCGGGCTAGAAAACCGAGCTAGACCACTGAACCGGTTCGGCTAGGCTCTCCTGATCACTGGACCGGATCGCTGGAGCTCTCGGACTGCTAAACTGGCCTGAACCGTGGGTTGAGACTTAAAAATAAGTTCAGTCCCTGGATTGACCCGATCTGGCTGGGCTCTTTTTCCTCGTTGGCTTATTAGGGTTCCAAGAGAACCCTGGTTCGACACCACCACAACCACCACACACCACGACGGCAACAACAACACCACCACACACCACGACGGCAACAACAAGACACAGACCACCACCATCACCAACGATCAACACAGGCGACTGCCACCACCACTACAACGACACACACGTAGATCACACCAACAATCAACACAGTAATCGCCAATGATCAACACAGAACACCACCAACGATCAACACAAAATTAATTTATTCGAAATATATATTTATCACCATTAGCTCTAATACCATGTTAAGTGTAGAATATTAATACAATATTAGAGAGAAACAGAGATAGGTCAAAACTTAACCTAGCTCTCATACATCACTTGTGTTTATAGGTAACTCATAACAAGAATTACACATACACACCCTCTTGTATTTACACATAATACCCTGACACTATTAGCAAATTACATATACTACCCTAATACTCTTAACATTTGCAAAACATGTTTTATTACCTCAGACAAACTTACATAATATTGCCATCACATGAATTATGGAAATAAAACATTGCTTGTGTTATATTAGGGCAGTTTCAAAATTCAGGAAAGATCTGACAGAAACTTGGAAAGTTATCGTATCCAATTCCACATTTTTCTTTGATTCAGTTCATTCTGATCATGTTCAAGGACAAATAGGTGGTAATTAGGTATTCGATGTATTTCAGTGTTGCAAAGTTGCCTGATTGAGAATACAATTTTAACAGACNTTTATCGTATCCAATTTCACATTTTTCTTTGATTCAGTTCATTCTGATCATGTTCAAGGACAAATAGGTGGTAATTAGGAATTCGATGTATTTCAGTGTTGCAAAGTTGCCTGATTGAGAATACAATTTTAACAGACAAAACTTGCCCTGTGTTCTGCTGAATTAAGTTGAGCTCTATATTGGACTGCAATATGTACATCAAGTAAAACTAACCTAAAATCATATGACTTGTGTCAATGTGCAGCTCAAAAGGGGTTCTATCACGCTCTTGATGCTTCAAAATAATGCAAAAGGTGGATGATGATAAGGTTAAAGGTAATATATCTAATCTCCTATTTCCTGAAGCATAGGACACTAATATTTGTCTTGATGATTTTTCATCTTTTGCGGTTAGTTCCATTTGTTTAAGCATTGCTGTAGTAGTACCAAGCAAAAAAATTATCACAACCACTGCCGTTGTAATACGAGGCAAAAAATGATCGCAACCACTGCTGTATTTGCTTCTGGTGATGATGTTTAAACTCCGATGGGAGGACAGATGCTGGTGTATTGATCTATGGACCGGTAATTGTTGTTCAACTAAGAAGACATTTTGTATTGTACACTGTAAATTATTCCATAATAAAGTTCAATTTGTGGGGCAGATTTTTTGTGATCATCAAATTTGCTCAAGCATACACAAGGAAATGTCCACTCATGTAATTCGTAATATCTCATTGAATCAGTGTTCGCTTCGTTTGTGATGTAGAGGGCTTCACTGCATGCCATACGACGCAGCACTGCATTTTCACTACTCTGACGCGTAAGAGCATGTGAATTTTGGTCTGATTGATTTGAGTGATTTGCAACTCTCTGGTGTTGTGCCACGGGAGCACCTAGCCCCTAGAGGAGCAAATCTCATTTTCCTTCTTGTGTAACGCGGCGTATGAAGGACTGACCCATCAAACCTCCTGGAAATTGAGAATCAACAATGGGTTCTTATAACGAAGGAAGTCGAGTGAATCCTCGATTTTTCAATCTTTTCATGTTGTTCTCTTTCTGTGCTCTTGCCCTGGCCTGGCACATCCTTGATTCTTGTGCAATGCACTCTAAAGACATGGTGGGAGTTTCAACGAACACAAGTAAAGTATAATATAAACCAGCTCATTTTCTAAAGCATTAGTGCAGAAAATGATTATACATTGGATTTGTCATCTACAAGTGAGTGAGTCCAGTTCAAAAAATAAAAAATTAAAATCTACAAGTGAGTTGCTTAAACTTTACAAAAATTCTTCCACAGAGTTCAAATCCTTCAGAATTTCAGACTTAACCTCTTCTGGAAGTGGGGCAGATGGGCCTGCCTTTGAGTAGAAGCTGGCTAGAGATCTGATTGCTTTCTCAATCACGACGTATGATTCCTGCAATATGAAACCGTCATGGTAACTTATTCTTAAATGTATCCGTGCTTTCAACACCAACGTTACTCAAATGTAAAATGCAATGATTTCGCAGATGACAGGGTAATGTTTCATTTATTTTCATGTATTTTCTCAACTACATTGTCACCCATTATTCACCTTTTCTTTTATCAAAGAATTCTGTTCACCACAACATTAACACCTTCGAAGGGCTAAGAGAATGTTCCAGGATTTAGGTACTTCAGGCTAATGATGGCGTTCTTAAATCGCTTGTTCTAGAAAGCGAATTCCTTTCTCAATCACATCCCTTAAGGCACACAATAGAAATTTTCATTTTCATTTTCATCAAGTTAAGGAGCAGTAGATCAGGACATGGATGGTATTCAGAAATCATACCATTTACATGGCATCATGCACGAATTCGAGAGAACTGAAACCAATGCACAGCCCTGATATGGTAGTTAGTGGACTATTGACACAATTTGAATACCATCACATAACTGAACCTAAATCACTCATAAAAACTGGCCCCATTGACTGGGGATTCCAACAAGTCCTGCCCATGAACCTTTATTTTTGGTTACATGAGCCAGCTTCTGGTCTAGTTCCACCATTGAGTCCCTCCACAGCAGGTTTATACTTCTACCTCATATTTTTCTGGCAATTATACCCCGGAATTTAATCTTTCTGGAAATTTCAGGTTAGAATTATGCAACAATTTCAATGGATACTGTAGATTGAAAGAGTTTCATAACAGCAAAATGGTCTAAAACATAGGTGTGGGTTGGGAAAAGGTGAGAACAAAGTTCCAATAGACTTGTTTATCTGTTACTCATTACTTATCATAAATTCGAATCAACCCAAACAATTGTGACATGTACATGTGATTCAACTTACCTCATTGACTACTGTCTTCTGTCCCCTCCACCCGCTGAGATAATCTCGGATAGACTCCTTTGCTGCATCTGCAGTCCGTCTAAATTTGGCAATATCCTTGGGATCTTCCTTCAATGAATCACGCAGCGTCTTTACCACCTCTCTTGCTGACTTCAAGTAAGCCTTCGGCAACACTTTACCGGACTTTGTTTTTTCAGTAGGATCAAACAACGTTTTTATGGACCCTATGAGGCCCTGATCCTGATCCTCTTGACTAGTTGACTCATCTCCAGCACAAGCTGGCAATGGTGTTGAGCCATTGTTGAGGGTTAAGATTGCAACTAATGCACCACTCACTAAAACTTGGCGACGGCGAGATGGTTTTTGGGAAGGTAGCACAGCATGACACCTGGATTGCAGGTTACCTGCTTCGTAGTGGAAAAAAAATAAATAAATCAACAAAAATAGAAACCACTACATCACGACGGAAATATATCAAGAAATCATCTTTGTTTCTTTGATGAGAAGAAAATACAACATAACCCAACCACATAATGACACTGTTTGGGCTTGAGATACATGGACAGATTGGCAGAAAAATGCAACCTTGAACTTTTATGTATATATTATATGGTTTTGCATCAGGGATGACAACTCTTTACACGACCCGCCAATCCAACATACATTGGTACAAAATTGCTCTTAACACATAGTAAGGATATAACCAGGTCAATGCACCAGACTTGTTAGATAAATAGGATTCCCCTAACCTAGTATATACACAATTACCCGAGTTACAGACGATATGAACCCGATTCCGCACCACCATACGATCAATGTATTGGTTGAGCAAATTTTGACAGAATTTACACACAACACTAACCTGACACGAACCATTTGCTCACCAGCGGCCAAACAATATGATGAAAGAGGCATTAAAGTGTTAGAGAGAGTTTCAGAAAATTTGAATCTTATGTGATAGAATAACCTTTTTACCCAAGTTACTTTGGGACAAACAAGTATGAAAGTTATGAACCCAACCGAGCCAAAAGTTCCTATGGAGAGTTAGATCTCATTCGACACTGGTCTAACGGTAGCCCTTTCTCTTTGGCAACTTCACTCACCTACCAATATTCAACGCGTTAGCATTATGTTCATATATAATATTAAAACATTTTAATCTAGTCTATAGGTTGTCTCTTTCACGACTCCAACTCATGACGTGATNCCCAAAAGTTCCTATGGAGAGTTAGATCTCATTCGACACTGGTCTAATGGTAGCCCTTTCTCTTTGGCAACTTCACTCACCTACCAATATTCAACGCGTTAGCATTATGTTCATATATAACATTTTAATCTAGTCTATAGGTTGTCTCTTTCACGACTCCAACTCATGACGTGATGGTTGCTCTAATACCAATTGTTATGAACCCAACTGTTGATCCAAAAGCCCCATATGGGGGCTAGAGCTCATAAAATTTGAACGGAGCAATGACGTATTTGTGAAATTAACTCAGTTTTGTAGTGATTACAAAAGACAGGAATAATCAAACTGAAAAGATGAATAAACCCATTACATCCAAGCCATTGGCACTGGACAAAGATTGATGAAAACCCAAATTCTCAAACTATATTACTGCAGAATGGACTTCCAGACTCGAATCTAAAACCAACTGTTTCTTGGTATAATGCAGAATTTCGTACACAAAAATTGACAGATGGTATAATGCAGAATTNAAGAACGGACTTCCAGACTCGAATCTAAAACCAACTGTTTCTTGGTATAATGCAGAATTTCGTACCCAAAAATTGACAGTTGGTATAATGCAGAATTTGGTATACAAAAATTTAAGTACTTACAAGTACTGGAAGCTTTAACTTCTTTCCCAGTAGAATTGAAAATGAGAGGGGTTTGGATCTTCAAAGCAAGAAAAACAGCCATCGTTGTTTGAATCCTCAATAAAATTGAGTAGCTATGTATGACGTCTGAATTCTACCCAGCAACTTCGACCTCTTTATACTCGAACTACCTCATTAAAGAAGCAATTAGCTTCATGAAAACAAAGATTAGGGTTTGATTGTGAATGTGTCTAAAAATGTTGGTATATAATTTGGGTTCCATATGGGTAATCTATACATCAACTTCTGGTCATAAAAAGTTTGAATAAATTATATTTTACACCCTAAAATATTTAAGAAATTTTATTTTATACATTAAAAGTTTAATTTTTCATATTACACATTAATATATTAAAAGTATTACAATATAATTTTTTTTGTTACCTTTTGTTGTTCATTTATTTAAGAGAATGCTTATATTTAATATATATTTTTAGAAATTAATTTAGACGAGACGATGCTTATAATACTTTTTCTAACCAAATACTTTTTTTAAAATTATTTAACAATAATACATTAATCTCATCAAAATAAATCAGTCAATCTGGCTTACCCATCCGATCTGTTTTTGTTGACATGCAAATGCATGTGTTTCCTTGCCATGCACATTCACCAACAATTATGTTCTTTGGATAATTTTTAAGAGAAGAATTTTTTTTTTTTTTATATGAAAACATTTCTAAATTTAATCTTTCGGTTTTGTTCATAAGATTGAATAATGTATCATATCTAATCTTATATTTAGTAAATAACACAAATACACATGAAAGCCATAGATTAATCACAACTATCACAAATTATTTACCATGGAATTGACTAAACTCATCCCCATGGGTTTATTGAAACTTATATATATATGGATTTTACTTATGGGTATGTTACGGATTGAGATTCAAATCTTGGCCCTAAAATTTATAATCAAATAAGGGATAAGAGCATCCCTGACCTATTCTCTATTTCCTCTCTTTTAACTAGATAAACATTAAAAACACTCTCTATCTCACTCTCTATTTTCTGTTTTATCCAAAATGGCTCTCCAAATATGGAGAGTCATTTAACTTCTCTAAATTCTCTCTCTACCTCTTTTTCTCTCAATCTATCTCTTTATATATATGTTGTATTCCCTTTAAATTATTAGAAGTTAGAGAAAATTGGGTGAAGTAGTTAGATAAAATAGAGAGTGCGGTTGGAATGAGCTTGTAAAAGTGACAAACTAAAATAGATAATGCAACACTAAAATATATTTTGGCTAGTCATTTTGGAAAGCAGGGTTGGACATGATCTAAGGTTGTTTATTAGACTATTTTGAAAATACTCATTCTATAAAATTCCACCTAAACCCATGAACCAAATAGACCTTACTAAGGGTGCCACTTTTTAATCGTTTTGAGCGGATTTGGAAGGATGAGTTGAAGTAAAATAATTCGATAAACCACTTAATTCTCTATTTTGTTAGGACTTTTAAACCCAATTTTTATATCCTGGCCTAAAAATTAAACCAATGAATATGATTTTCAACAAATCCATTAGGGGGGTTAAAATCAACCAACTTAGGATATAATGATAAAATATGTTTTTTTTATCCATAACCTACATAATTACAAAAGATTGGATAGTATAATTTAGTTAATGACATGACAAATATTTGGTTATAATTATTGACGGAATTTTAGGCAACTTAGCAGCCCCCAAATTGACACACGTAAAGATGTAATCGTTATGAAGCTCAAGAGGCGCCAAGGTTTGGCGCTAAGGAGTAATGACTTAGAGAAGTCAAGTTCACAAATTGACACTAGCATTTAAGACGATTTGACAACTCATTTATGGAGATGCAATTGAAACAGGGTTATTAATGAGCCCCTGTATCCTCTACTGTCATGGTTGTGAGACATTAATGACTATTGTGCCGAGTGTATCACCTTGGCACACCCCAAAGTACTGTTCCCTGAGCATTGAACGCTCGGGAGTAGATATCGAGCTCTGATCAGAGGGCTTAAATGACCGAAAATAGGGTCATAAGTGCTTGGCATGTCCCGAGAAGTCATCTTATCGCCCGAGCAAACTAGGCATGAAGACCTGCGTGGAGAACACTAGTTGCTCATGGGTAAAAGTGTAAGTCATTGAATGTTAAGATGAGACTTCTAGACTTGACACTCATTACTAATTCAGGTATAAATACTCATCAGAAAGCGAACAAAGGTACGCAAAACTAAACTGAGAGAAAAGAAATAATGTACTGAAACCTCCAAACTTATGCTGACTTAAGTTTCGGAGTGATAAGTCGGGTATTCACCCAGTCCTTTTTCTACCGTTGTGATTGTTTCAAGTTCATCATCGTGAGGATTGCTATCTCAATCTATTGCAAGAAATCTCCTGTACAATTATGATTAATATGTGGGTCTCACATATGTATACACTACTGAACAAACGCAGGTATGAATATGATTTATCTATGAATACTATGTACACAAAGGTGGGGGTTGGGGTGAGAAGAGTTTGCTAAAATCAATTCAATCCCTTTACCCAAAACCATCCAACACATGCTTAGACAATTGAACGTAAGAGCAACTCTAATCGGTATCTCAAATGCTACCTGGAGCTCTCAACGACAACATCTGATAGTTGCTTCCTCTCCAACCGGCATCTCAAATGTCCAGTTGGCTAAATATAATTTGGCATTATGTCAAATTTGACATATCAAATCCTTTATTAAGTATTATTTTATTGATATAACCAAAGATAAAGATAATGAAGTACTAAAACAAATTATTTTTGAAATATCAATTAGAATACTAATAAAGTGAAGATGCCAAATTTTATATTCCAAAATGCCACATAAACCTCTAATTTTAAATTTGGCATCTCAATTTTGACAACTCCATTGGAGATGCTCTAAGGGCAGGACTGTTGGTTTCCCGAAATTGACTTTGCTGATTGTACCTGGTGAAAATTTTATTATATGGTGACATCTTCAATGAAAAATAAAATGTGGACTCTCTGTGAGGTCGGGTTTGATTGAGGGGATGCTACTTTGACTTATAAATAGTTTTAGATGAAGTCGATAGTTTTGGACATTTTATTTTTTATCATTTTCGAGACGAGTCAATTATGACAGAAATAAGTATAATTATAACAATACAAAATTTGAAACTAATAGTAAATTTTGAAGAACGATTCTTGTTAATGTCTATTCTCATTAACATCTTACGGGTTTAATTAATAATTATAATTAAAAGATAATTACAAATATTCAAAATTTATTTTATAAATATCGGTTTAGTGTGATATGATGGCTCAACAACGGGTGGGTGAGTGGGAATATTTCATTTGACTAATCCTGCATTCAAGCCTATTGCCTATTGCCTATTGGTACTATTGATTGGGGGGGGGGGGGGGGTTCAATGAAACACTGGTTAAACTTCTTATCGTGAGATTTGAAATTTGAGTTTTGCGGTCTATATAAGATTTCGATGATTCACTGCTATGTTAATTCTCTAATTAGATTCATTTTTGAGATGAATAATGTACGAGGTCAGGAATTTTATGATCTTATCAATAAAACTCTATCGGAGTTATGCTCTCATTTATCCCTACCCATTTTTTCAATAAAAAAAAAATCCTATTGGTTATCCAAAGCAGGGGCGGAGCTACATGTATTGGTGTGGGGGCAAATACCCCCACTAACTTTTGAGGGGTTAACTTCGTAAATTGATAAACAATAACGATATATTCAATTTATCTCATTGTCCCTCTTAAAATTTTTGAAAATTTAAATAGTGGCCCTAGTCTTTTTTGTCTTCAATAAGTTGGTGGTTCACTTGTTCTCCTAATCTATTAAAACAAGTATTTTTTTTTATTAAAATAAGTAGTAAAAATGATGTGTGATTCTTTAACTCATTATATATATTAGCCAAATACAATATCTCTCTTATTTAATAGAATTTCTCATATTTTTTAATATTATTGTATAATAACATATGAATAGCCGCAAATGATAAGTTATGCACATTTATGCCCTTTCAAAAATATCAATTTCTCAACAAGATTTAAAAATTGCTTACAAATTTATCATAAAATTGATTAATTATAGACATTCTTGAGATTTAAAACAAAATAACCATTCTAAAAATATTAATTTCTGAACAAAGTTAAAATGAAATTACTTAGAAATTTACCGTAGAATTGGTTAGTTATGGACGATTTTTGAGATTTTAAACAATATCGTCATGTTTTTCTTTAATATATGATTGAGTTGAAATTAGTCACTAAAAAAATTATTGTTCTTGTTTGTTCATGTTTTCTTAAATGCTGAATTGATTTATTTTTATATAAATTATGTTAATATATTGCTCATAGTTGAACTTAAAAAAAATAATTCTGCAAAATTTATTAACCCTTATTATTGGAGGTGGAGGAGAATTTTTTATACCAATTAATTAAGGAAAATACCACACCTCACACTCTTTAAATAGGATATTACCTCTCACATCACCTGTTTCAAAGATTCCATAGCACAAGACAAGACTATTTTCTTTTTAGCTGGATGGCAATCTTAGTTTTGTAGTTTAAAACGTATTTCTCCGATATATATATATACTAGTCATAATCCGTGCACGAAGACAAGATAAAATATAAAATTTGAGTGTCCCAAAAATTGATCTCATTATATTAATTTTTTTAAAAATATATTAATTATAAATTAATTAAATATTAAATAATTAAATATATGATAGAAATGAGTTATATGATATTTTTAGAGAATAAATATATAAATGATTAAACACANCACCACCACCTAAATCGAGAACCACCCAATAAATCGTGCCAAAAACGAGAAATCAAAATCAAACCAAGCAGACCCAAAAAATGGGATCATTTGCATTTGTTAGCTAGAGCTGTGTTGCAGCAGATCTGTTATAGTATTAAAAGGAATANCATAATAACAATAAGTGATATGATTTGACGTTTGAATCTGACAAAGGGACGATGGATGAGGTAAGTGATTAGTGATGATTTTAAAGAAAAAAATATGATTGAGACAAAATTCAAACACACTCCTGTTTTATTATATACATATATATTATTATTATTCATAAATCTGTTATACTAATTAAATTCGAGTTTTATATGAGTAATATAATGCAAAGTTCAACGTATTGATTAAATTTAAATTTTGTGTGATAAATAAATCTTAAACTTTAAATACTTTGCAAATTGATGTCTCATTATTTACTCGAATCAATTTGGGTCCATTTGGGCTATCCCACGTTCAATAGTTTTTGGGGTGTGTGTGTTTATAAGTCTCCATTTAACTCTTACTCTAACAGAGTAAGTGGCTAAGTATGAATTAAAAAAAAATTCGGTCCATTTGGGGATGATTTTTGTTTTTCGGAATACCTAACACAAGATATAGATACAGATACGTGATCTCNCAGTTTTCGGAATGCAAACCAAACACCCCCACAATTTTTAATTTATCATATTTTTTTTTTAATTTGTATTTAAACATCGTTGACACCTTTATCATTAAACTACTATTTCTAAAAAAATAAGAAATAAAATTCATTTAAAATATTAAAATTACCCCTATGTAAGCTCTAAATAATTTTTATACTTAAAGTTTGATTAAAATTTGAGCCGTTAAAATTTATTTAAAATTTAAGTTGATTAAAATTTATTTTTTACATATTAAAATTTGAATCGATTAAAATTCGATTCGAATTGATTAAATTTTATTTTTTTACGTATAAAAATTTCAGTCTATTAAATTTTTTTAATTTTTTTTACATATTAAAATTTGAGTCAATTTAGTTCAATCTGAATTATTGGCGTTGATTAAAATTCGATTCGATTCAAATTTGTATTTTTGTACTTATTAAAATTCGTGCTAATTAAAACTCGATTTCAAGTTTATTAAAATTTGTTTTTTATGTATTAAATTTGAGTAGATTAAAATTTATATTTTTTTACATATTAAAATTTGGACAGATTAAAATTCAATGTGAATTTATTAAAATTTGATTCGAGTTGAATTTTAATAAGTAAAAAAAATCATAAAATAGAGTAAGTTTAATTAAAGATATACATATCTAAAGAATGTGTGAATAAATTTTTTTTCTAAAATACATTATAGGCAATATAGTAAAATTATATTATAATTAAAGTTTTTAATCTAAGAAGAGGTGCCATTAAAAATTTAAAAAATATTCTTAAAAATATAATAAATTAGAAAAGATGTGATTGAAATTTTTCTTTCACTTCTTCTTCGGTTTATGAGAAAGTCGTTCATTGACAAAAAAAAAAAAAAAAAGAGAAAGTCGTTCATCCCCTCAAATTATTCCGCCAGCCAAACACCCCCTCTCTGCTATGTTTGTTTACGCGGGGAATTTTTCTCAACCAATCATCACTCTCTTCTCAGACTGCTCGGTTCTATTACACGGAGGATTTTTCTCAACCAGTCATCATTCTCTTCTCATACAGCACCCTTCAACCCATGGGCGCATATTAGCACCCGCCAATACCAATGTTTTGACAGACACGATCACACGTGGCGAATTATTACACCGCCACGTCATCAAGCCGCCTCTTCCTTCAACCTAGCTTTATCACCACCACCAAACCCTTATCTCTCTCGTCACTTTCTCTGTCTCTCTCTCTCTCTTTGAAATTTCTACAGTTTCTTTTTCCTCTGTGCCCATCAAGGAGGTCCATTAGAGATTCAAAAGTGACTCGTTCCTGCTCACGATGGGTTCAATCGCCGATCCCGGCGAGTTGACTCAGCCGAGCTTCGACGAGTTCCAGAGACAAACCTCTCTCATGACGAGCTGTACTCTTCTCTGGAAAGAACTCTCCGATCACTTCACTTCTCTTGAACAAGACCTCCTGAAGAAATCTGAAGCTCTCAAAGCAAAACTCAAAACCCTCGACACTCAAACCAAACAGTCACTCCAAGAACTTGAGAAACGCGAAACCACCATGAACAGTTCAATCGAAATCGCGCTTGGAAAAGTCCAAGAGAACAAAGTACTCGCCATCAATTCCAGGAATGACACCGTTACAGAGCCCGAAGTCGATGATTCTGAAGGTTTGCTACTGAAATTGAGCTCTTTCTGTGTGAAAATGAATTCTCTAGGGTTTTGGAAATTTGTGATTGTACGGAAGAAGGAATTGGATGTAATGAGAACGAAAATACCGGTGGCTTTAGGGGTTTGTGTAGATCCGGCGAGATTTGTTTTGGAGGCTATATCGGAGGTGTTTCCGGTGGATACAAGGGAGTTGAAGAGTGATAGAGTGAATGACTTGGGTTGGGCTTGTGTGTTGATGTTGGAGTCGTTGATTCCAGTGATGGTGGATCCAATACTGGGGAGTGAGAGGATGTTGGTGACGCCTAGAGTGAAGGAAAGGGCAAAGGAGATTGCGGAGACATGGAAGAAGAGCTTGGAGGAAAGGGGAGGGATTGAGAATGTGAAGACTCCGGATGTTCATACGTTTCTGCAACACTTAGTGACTTTTGGGATTGTTAAGAAAGAGGACGTGGAGTTGTATAGGAAGCTTGTTGTTGGGTCGGCGTGGAGGAAGCAAATGCCCAAGCTCGCTGTTTCGCTCGGTTTGGGTGATAAAATGTCTGGTATGTTTCCGATTTGTTTTTATTTTTTTTCTTGATATAGAAATTAATGTTCCTACTTGGATTGTTAGTAGCTCATATTGGGGACCTGTAAAATTTATAAGAAAAAGGAGCACTTAAATCAAATGATACATGTCAAGAAGTGTATTTCGGTATTTGATACCACACTTTATTTAAAATATATTGTTGCGAGTTTAATAGAAAGATATTGTACGAAAAATACTAATTTTAGAGGTTGCAGAACTATCAAATTGGGACTGATTGCATCCCGATGGGAAGGGGATTTCAACATTGTAAGGTTGTAAGTTCAACAAAGAAGTTTGTATGATATTTCTGATTTCTGAGGTTTGAGAAATTATGTTGAATGGGATTAAATCTGAGGCAAGAGTTTTCTAATTATGCACATACTAGTTTTCACTTTTTTTTGCTGTAAGCAAAGAGGTGTGATACAACTTTGGTGGGAATCCATTGTCACCATCTTTTTGGGATTTGGTGGTGGAGGGAGTGCAAAAAAAATTAGATAGGGTGGAAGAGAGCTTTTATTTCTTGAGTTTTTTTTATTTGGTTGGGGGTAAGATTAACTTTAGTATAGTTAGTACTAGTTAGTATTCCCACATTTTTTTTCTTTATTGAGGATGCCAAGTAAGGTTGCTTTGAAAATTGAAAAATGAGTGGATTTTTGTGAGAAGGAAGTGGTGAAGGGGAGTAAGGATAAATGTGGTATTTCAATTGAAAATTTAAAGGCAAGAAATGTTGTTTTAGTGGATAAGTGGTTGTGGAGGTTTCCTTTAGAACAAATGCGCTATGACATTTAGTTATCAAGAACAAATATGAATTACAGACACTAACATAGTTGAAGGGGGAAGTTTCCAATGCCCATAAAATTTATATTTCAGGGATTGACTAGGTTCTGTCGAAAGCTTGTGTTGGTTGTGAGAAATGGGATGAGAGTCCGTTTCTAAGAGGATGTATAGGTGGTGGAGTCATCTTTGTTATAAATGTTTCCACGTTTCTATCATTTATCTTCCTATGATGAAGCGACCATTGCTTCCTTGATTAGATATTACAATCAACCATATTCTTGATATTTTGGTTTTTATAGAAATCTTTATAACAAATATTGAGGGATGTGATATCAATTTTGAATACTTTTGATGATTACTTCTTATGCCTAGAGGCATGTGACAGAAGAAGGTGGGTTCTTGAGTCTTCGAGTGTTTTTCCTTGTAAATCCTAAGTTTGATTATTATTTTGATGACTTTTCTTGTCTGTTTTTTATATTCGTTATGATGATTTGGAAAGCTAAAGTGCTGATAAAAGTGTAAGTTTTTCATTTGAAATCCTTCTATGATTATTATTTTGATGACTTTGGGTTTGGGTTACTAAGGATTTCAAAGGAAACCCGCCTTTACAATTTAGGCGGGATAACAAGCATCATGTGATATATAGGTTGTTCTATGTGTTGGATTTCTTATCCAACAATTTTGATGTACAGTTTGTTTTAATAATAAAAGTTTTTTGTTCATATTAAAAAAAAAAAAAAAGAGCTGTGATTCCTCAAGGGAAAAACAAAGTAGATGACTGATTAATATTGAACAGGAGGTACTGGAGAAATGTATGGTGGTCTTTGAATAACCTTTGCTGGATGTTTTCTTGAACTTAAGGCACTAATGCCAAATTTTATATGGAGATTGGTATTAAAAAAATTTAGAAGTTGCCTCTTCTTGATTTGTATGTCCTACCTTGCTATCCAAAATGCATATCATTGTTCACCTGATTATGGATCCTTATTGCCATAAGGGCAATGCCTAGTCAGCTAGTCTTCATCAATTGTGCATGAATGTGAATACTAAGTTGGAGTTTTTGGTGCCCAATTTACCCAAGGGACCGTTTGCCAACAGAAATAGTCCATAGGAGTATTTACTTCTAGTCTAAGAAAACCGTTAAATATGGTGTTTCACTATGTTCTTCATATGATGACCATTGATCATACTTATTCCTATTGGGATAATTCGAGGGCTGTTCTTTAGGATAAAAGTCTTCAACAAAGCAAGCTGACATTTACAATGAGCAGCCACTCTTTATTTTGTTCTGGCCCCTATCTTGGTGCCACCTCTTTTCTCTTGATATTGAAATGTAAATGGGTAACCTCCTATTGGTGTACATTGGGGTGATGCCATCCATTTGTTCATGAGAGAACTTGGTCAACTAGTCATAGTTTTGTTATTGTATCAAGAGTGTATGTGAGTGTGTGCCATTACTTTGATTATTAATCGCTTTTTAGTGGAAAAGTGGTCATGATGGGATCTATGGGTGTGCTCTTTTTCTTGGCCCTTTGACCGGTGTATACTTTCTTTGGATGCTATTTAAAACATGTAACTAGTAGAACATGAGTGGTTATATTCTTGTGTACATGTAGCACTCACATGTGCTTTTTTTAGCGCTTCTGATTTGATATGCATTAAGCCTTGAGTTTACTTTCTATGTTGAATCAAGTGCCTCCATTATACTGCTATTGTAATGGGATATTGTGCTCATCGACCTTGCTGGTGCTAGCTTTCAATATTGTTGGTTCATTCTCTTGACTTAGCGGACATGTATAAATATTTTGGTAGCATAGCTTCCTATATGGTGGGGGCCATTCTCTTGATTTATTGGACATGTTTCAAATTCAGTTGGTAATGATAGATGCCTATAAGTTAGTTTTGGCTTGTTTTATTCTCTTGTGTGCAGATATGATTGAAGAATTAATTAGCAGGGGACAGCAGGTTGATGCTGTGCATTTTACTTATGAAGTTGGCCTTGTGGACAAGTTCCCCCCTGTTCCCCTTCTGAAAGCTTTTCTGAAAGATGCCAAAAAGGCTGCAACGTCTATTTTGGAGGATCCCAACAATTCCGGGAGAGCTGCGGTATCTTTTTATTGCATTCATCCAGAATTCCAGATGAATATGCTTTCATTGTATATATCAGTGTGTTACCTACTTGATTCGTTGTTGGGTTGAATGCCATATGCTTCCTTCCCTGCTAGTTGCCCTGCTCCCTTCTCATCCTGTTGGTGTTGGGCTTAGCTTGTGGTTGTATACTTATAAGAAGTATTTGTGGTTCTTACTCTTTTGCAAGTTATATGTCTGTATCGCATTGCACCAAGCACTGAATTCTCCTTTTGTGAGAAACTTGGTGACAAATATTAATTGTGAATTGCATACATGAAGTAAACTCCTAGGGTGGGAGAGACAAATTTCATCCCACACATTCCATTATCTTGCTAAAGTATGATAGCATTTTGGTTTTTTGCTAGTTGCATCAAATTTGTATTTCACAGACCTTATGTCTAAGATTTGTCATTCATCATGTTAGGTGAATCGGGCTTTTCACAGATTGGTTAATATTTTAAACAAGTGTGAAATAATATCATGTTTGGTCTTTTTCTATTTGATTTCAATGGGAGATACTGAAGGCTGGTTCTTTCCTCTTTTCTCTTCTTTTGTTTTTTGGTTAATTTATAGCACCTAGCTGCAAAGAAAGAGCAGTCAGCACTCCGCGCGGTCCTCAAGTGCATCGAAGAGTATAAAATCGAGACTGAGTTCCCCCCAGAAAATCTGAAAAAGCGCCTTGAACAGTTAGAGAAGACAAAGGGTGAGAAGAAAAGGCCTGCTGCTGCAGTCCCTGCCAATAAACGAACACGAGCCAGCAATGGTGGGCCCATGCCCCCAGCAAAGGCTGGCCGTTCGACAAATGCTTATGTTTCATCTTTCCCAACAGGGCCCACATTTGTCAGGTCTCCCTCTCAGGCTCAGTACACTGCTGGGGTTCCATCATATCCAGCATCACCTGCTATGTATGGCCATGGCAGCAGGAGCCCACCATCCAACCCCTATGTTTACTCACCTGAAGCAGCCCCTCCTGCCATTGCTGGACCATATCCAGGAGCACCAATGAACTATCCTGCATACGGAGGATATGGAAATGTTATGGCACCAGCTTATCAGCAAGCTTATTACCGATAGATGACTGGTCTTCGAAGATGGTGACAACTGATATGATGACCCCAATCTGAAATATTTCTAAATGGTCTGTAATCACTAACCTTTTAATGGTAGCGATATCTGTGTGTTAATCCTTGATTCTGAACCGTGTCCTGCGTCTTGCTTTGTCAAGAAACAGGTTGTATTTCTGATGTTGACTAAAGTCTTAGTACTAGGTGATTGTGAAAAGGTAATTAAGGAAGTTGCTTAACAACTCAGGGTAGCAATGGTAATGGGGTGTAGTAGGACTGCTGTTTTGTGTATGATATATGGTTTTATCTGTTTAGTTCCCGAGTTTACCTTTCATGTTACCAGGAATGCAAGAATTGTAGGACTCTGCAAGTTCATATACCCAAGATTTATAGCATTTGATAGAGTTTGAGGGCCCTCCCTCCCTTTCATCCGGTCCCGACTCCCGTGTGGTTTCGATCACAGAACAGATGATGTCCAGCTAATTAACGTGTGTCGCAGGACCTGGGCTTTCCTGATATGCAAGTTGGAACGTAAGAGCTGCAGTGGGAATAGTCTGTGTCGGTCGGAATTGGCAGGGTTATTGTCACTGTTGAAATGGTGAAAATGGACTCATATAGTCGATTTCAGATTTCAAATGATTGAGACATAAGGTTTAGTTGGGATTGGTTTGGTTTGATTTTGTTTATTGTCACTGTTGAAATGGCAACTTTAGAAGTTCCATACCGTCCTATTATTATTAAATGGTATGATAAGTATTGGTTCTCTTGAAACTCATTTTTCTGTCATAAGCAACCTGCCTGTCTCGAACCTAGTAGGTGGAGATTGTTTGAGCTCATATGTTGCCTTTTTTTACCTGCAAATTTTCCCTTTCTCCTCGTGGGCTCTCAAAGTATGTGGATAGAATTTTTAATATCTCTTAATAATTCATTAAAATTCAATTTGAAAAAAAGTTCAAACCAGAAAAAACTTGTGAAAGGGTTTAGGAATCGTCAACTAGATTGCAATGGTGATACAAGTGAATATTATTTTGTAGTATCACCAACCAATAACGTGTAAACAAATAAAAAAACGAATTTTACATAAGTTGATAATTATTAGTTTATGTAAGCCAATAACTATTCATTTTTCTTCTATGTAATCTAATAACTATCTAAGTAAGGTTTATTTTATCCATTTAAAATTTTATTATTGATCAGTGTTACTATGTCATCAATACTGATATGATATTATCATTACTATGTCGAGGAGAAATTGAACATTTTCAACAAAATCTGTCATTCATCATTTTGCCAGAATTTTTTTAGAAAAAAGGGTAATTGTGTGTTAATTTTTCATTGCATATGCATACTACATGACACTGTCACGTGATAAATTAGATTAACTCTTATTTTTTTTTTCCGAACCCTAGGGTTAATGACCCCCTTCCATTCTGGTACAATTCAATTTCGAAGCCCCTCTGAGTCATTTACTATTCTCAACGATGTAACAACTACTTCTGGTATGGTATCTTCTTCATTAGTTTCCCATGTTAAACAACGTCGTTTGATGTCCAGACCACGAGTCGTCCAGCTGTCATTGCTCAATTGAATCCTAGTTCAAACAGTCCAATTACTGTTGTAGCAGAGAAGTTTTGGCTTTCGCATCCCAGTTGTTTGATGATTTGCCTCTAAGAACGGTACCCTAAACCAACAATAACGCAACCTTAATTCTAACCCTTATCAGTTCAATCATTCTTGTTAATTTTTTTTTAGCTGTTAGTGACCCTTTTATAGCTGTGACCCAAATGACATTTATGTTCTTAAGAAGAGTCAGCACCTTAACCTCAGTGGTGAATTGTCATTTGCTTTTGCGGGTATGTGGTTTTTCTTCAAGGGTCCTTGGTTTGGAAAATCAAGCAGTACAAGCATCATTGAATGATAACAAGGGAATTACGTCTCCTAATTACGTCAGTAGGCATCATCTTTCGCCATGGTTCTCGGATAATAAAGCTCATTTGGAGGATTGTAAAATCGAGCTTGTGGATAATGAGTCTTGGCACGTTTCTTCTGGACTAGCCGAGGCGTGGAGAGGTACTGCTGGGATGGTGGAAAGACAAGCTGTATTTACGGAGGAGGATGAGGTAGTGCTTAACAATGTACCACCAAACAAGGAGGACCCTGATTTCGATGAGATTGAGGATATGAGAGTTCGTGGCAATCTATTCTATAAGATTGACAGGGGTTCCAAAGAGTTTGAAGAGTACAGTTATGACTTCCACAGGAGGAATTCGGCAAAGAAGAAAGGTGATCGATCAGAAAGAAAAAAGAATGACAACCTAAGTCGTAATTTGGCATCCCCAATCGAAAAATCTTCGAAGAACAAAGATGAATGGAAAGAAAGCAAGAAGGAAGATGTGAATCATAGTTCTGCCCTCAGAGGGGAGAGACTTCCCAAAGTCGGTAAGGAAAGCCATCTGACTTTGCAATTTCATGAAGTGGACAATTCTGGTGCTGGGAAGAAGCAAAGGACTCCCACTTTCAATCAGCTTACAGCACCTTACCATGAGCCATTTTGCTTGGACATTTACATATCAAAGGCGTCAGTGCGTGCCTGCATCATTCACCGGGCGACTAGCAATGTTGTTGCTGTGGCGCACACTATTTCTAAGGACATGAAATTTGACCTGGTATCGACTAAGAATAGAACTGCTTGTGCTGCTGTTGGGGAAGTATTGGCTCAGAGGGCCTTGGCTGATGATATCCATAATGTGGTTTATACGCCTAGGAAAGGGGAGAAATTGGAAGGGAAGCTTCAGATTGTACTTCAGTCCATCATTGATAATGGTGTTGATGTTAAGGTGAAGATCAAGCAAAGGAAATTCAAGAAAGCTGGCTTACTACCTACAGCTTAGGAGCATTATTGACTTGTTGGCTGCTTGATACGGAACTTTCACTATTGGGTTAGCCATATTTCATGTAAAACTTGGGGTTATAAATCCAAGTTTTTCAATGGTATTAGTCATCCTGATGAAGATATTAGTGGAAGATTGTTGATTAAGGCTAGAGCTACATGATGTGCTTGCATTCCACTCTTACTTGTTCATTGCCAACCACATCATTGTTTCAGATAGAAAAGGACTTTCCTCTAAGCAAACGAGAGCTTAATGCTTAGTTTGGTTAAGCAGATGAGGAAGGAAAAGGAAATTACAAATTCTATATAACTACTCCAGTTGTTGCGGCGAAGGAGCAAGCAGAGCATAAAACAATCTAGCTGAATGGGTTTATCAACGCATTAGGTAGCATTCTTGTTGTGGGTTTCTGAGTAACTGTAAATTTGCAATTTATGACTAAGTCAGATTTTATTTTGCAAAAATTCTCCAGTCTTATGAATCCATGGGGGGTATATAATGACCACCATTCTAAATCCATGTTTTTGCAAAATCATTCAAATCTTAAACCTTAACCAGAGTTCAGACAGCTTCTATGTGCAGCATTTGGAAATACCCAAGATGGCTAGGACCATCCTTCAATTCTCATTCAATCCAGTTAAAAAAATGGTCTATGATCTCAGTAAACCATTGTGATCAGCTATTTGATGGTAGCATTTGTAGAATTTGCTCTTTGACGAGAGGAATAGACCAAGCACTCGGTAGCAAATGTCCACTGCTTAGCCCAGAAAGCAAAAAAAAATGTCCATCCAATTGTTATGCCTCGACATTTTCTCTGAAAGCATGGTAATGAATGTAGCAGAGAATAACAGAAACAGCAGAAATAAGCAACATAGTACTCTTTGACACTCCGAAAAATTCCTAGACATTACTGTTTTCTATCAGAAATGCAAAATCGAAACTGCTATTCAAGCATTACTGTTTTACATTGAATTTAGTCATTGGCAGTGGCTAATTGCAGCGAAAGAAGCTCATCCTCCGGGATAGTCCGAATGTGACAATCCGATTGAGGGTACGATACACATAGTAAGGTATAGCCACGCTCCACAACATCATCACTAAGCATACCTTCACTCTGATCAACTGTTCCATTAAGAAGGCGAGCCGGGCAAGTCATGCACACCCCAAGCTTGCAATCATGTGGCACAGACAAGCCAGTGTCCAATGCCTTGGACAGAATTGTCTCATCAGGCTCAACCTCTAGCTCAGTGGTTTTACCTTGGTGTTCAATTAGCACTTTGTATGACCGGACAATGCCCGATAAGCGGCAGTTCAAGCTCGGCCGTGACCGTGGGATATTTAGCTTTGTGGCAGCAGCAGGGAGGTTGCTTTGCTTTTTGGGTGGGGCGAGGGTGAAGGGAGGAGATGTAGTGAAAGGAAGAGTTGCCATGTTTTTTGACTGAGGAGTAGGGGGAAGTATTTTTGGAGTGTGGAGGAAATGTATGGTGCTTGAGAGGATAAGGTTTTGTTGGTCTGGATTAGTACATGTGTTACCTTAGTACATATGTGTTACCTTATCTTCTAGTTTTTGTTTAATCATCAGATATGTTTGGAACAGTTTACTCATGTTTCAGTTAATCCCTTCATTAGTCCGGTCAAAGATAGGTTATTCACTTAGAACTAGAATATTTATGAAAGATAAATTTTTAATAATTTAAACCAAAATTCAAACTTAGAACATCTGGTTACCTTATCTTGCCTGCCCATATTCACTGTTTAGTGTGTATCATATATGAGCTTTATTACTCTGAGCAATGCTAGATGATCGAATCTAAGAATCTAATTTATTATTGATCTTGGATAAGTTATGATTTTCAATAATTAATGGGACCCATTTTTATCATACAATTACAATTGATTAGCTTCCCAAATTAAATAAAAATGACATTTTCCTTATTACTTTCCTAAATAGGTAAAACATATCAATATACGCGCATATATATATATATATATATATATATATATATATATATATATATGAACTCTCTCTCCATAAATGTTTAATTCTCCTATTATTGATTTTATTAAATTTTAGAACAAAGTTTCTAAAAGTAAACAATGTGCATCGCATAGATCAATTACTTGTACATATATATGAAATTCTACGTGATAGATAAACTATACTTGAACCTGTCGTTGCGAAAAAATTTAAGATAAAGTTAATTTAACTTCCTCAAGAAATAGATGATCTTGATGAGCCCAATTTTTATTGGATCAAGCCCAATTAATGAGATAGACCCAAATTAACTAAAAGAGAGGTCAAACTCAACTCATTGACTCAGTCCAGTCCAAGATTCAAGGAATTTAGGAATATTAGCGCACATGACGAGCAATTGTCGGGATAATTACTCTCTAGATGAAGTCTATCTATAATTGTAACTATTTTAGTTGTAGTTATCCTCCCCGAGAAGCTAGTAACCTACTCATCATGTCACCGCTTCAACTAAGACACTGTGCTTAAAAATTGTAAGTTCTTTCTATATGAGAGGGACACCTCTCTACACACCGCTCACATAGTTTTTCTCTCTCTTAACTATTATACCTCTTCCAGAGCTAACATTTACTCTTTCTCTCTCTCACTTTACTTTATTAATAAAGGTCCTTCGGTCACCGCTGTCGTTTTCCGAAGTGGAATAGGTCACCCGAATCGAATTATTATATATTTGTGTGTTAATCAAATATTTACCTTTTTGTCATTTGTTATTTTATTAATTGGCTCATTAATTCTCTTATATTATTCACTCGATTGTTGATCTTGTATAAGTCTATTTTGTATATCTATTTTGTGTATCATTAAATCTTGTGCTATTTTTCTGACCACTATAAAATGAGAAGTTTTGCTAATTCTACTGTGCGAGTCTTTTTTTTTCCCCACATTTTTCCCCTATTTTCATGAGTATTAATGATAAAAATTGAAATTTTTGTTCCACCTCTCTCATGATAATAATATTCTAATCCTGGTGTTATCTCATCCTATCTTACTTTAACAATTAGACTACGAAAAAGTTTTACTTTATTTTTCTATACAATAAAAAATTAGGACCTTTGTTGACCAACTACTAGCTCTTGGTCAAAATTTGACAATAAGAAGTCTTGATTATACAGAGTCTTATAGGGCAAATCCCTAAGCAGTTCAAATCCTATGGAAAAAAAAATAGTGTCTAAATCAACCAATTTGTTAAAAAATAATTGATTTTTAAAAAATTNTGTCGTTGCGAAAAAATTTAAGATAAAGTCAATTTAACTTCCTCAAGCAATAGATGATTTTGATGAGCCCAAATTTTATTAGGTCAAGTCCAATTAATGAGATAGACCCAAATTAACTAAAAGGAAGGTCAAACTCAACTCATTGACTCAGCCCAGTCCAAGATTCAAGAAATTTAGGAATATTAGCGCACATGGAGAGCAATTGTCGGAATAGTCACTCTCTAGATGAAGTCCATCTATAATTGTAACTATTTTAGTTGTAGTTATCCTCCCCGAGAAGCTAGTAACCTACTCATCATGTCACCACTTCAACCAAGACACTGTGCTTATAAATTGTAAGTTCTCTCTATATGAGAGGGACACCTCTCTACACACCGCTCACATAGTTTTTCTCTCTCCTAACTATTATACCTCTTTCAGAGCTAACCTTTACTCTTTCTCTCTCTCACTTTACTTCATTAATAAAGGTCCTTCGGCCACCGTTGTCGTTTCCTGAAGTGGAATAGGTTACCCGAATCGAATTATTATATATTTGTGTGTTAATCCAATATTTACCTTTTTGTCATTTGTTATTTTATTAATTGGCTCATTAATTCTCTTATATTATTCACTCGATTGTTGATCTTGTATAAGTCTATTTTGTATATCTATTTTGTGTATCATTAAATCTTGTGCTATTTTTCTGACCACTATAAAATGAGAAGTTTTGCTAATTCTACTGTGCGAGTCTTTTTTTTTCCTCACATTTTTCCCCTATTTTCATGAGTATTAATGATAAAAATTGAAATTTTTGTTCCACCTCTCTCATGATAATAATATTCTAATCCTGGTGTTATCTCATCCTATCTTACTTTAACAATTAGACTACGAAAAAGTTTTACTTTATTTTTCTATACAATAAAAAATTAGGACCTTTGTTGACCAACTACTAGCTCTTGGTCAAAATTTGACAATAAGAAGTCTTGATTATACAGAGTCTTATAGGGCAAATCCCTAAGCAGTTCAAATCCTATGGAAAAAAAAATAGTGTCTAAATCAACCAATTTGTTAAAAAATAATTGATTTTTAAAAAATTTGATTCCCTCTCAAAATTTTCAATTTTTAATGGTAAAGTTGAACATTTGAAAAGTAAAGTTACAATTGGTTAAGGAAAATCTACGATCGATTATGAGATTTTCTTTATAATTTCTCCTTTACGCATTATAACTTGATCATTAAAAGGTTTAACTCAATCTTTGAGAGTTGTAATTTCCATAATCGATCGAAGTGTTTTAAGATCGATCATGCCTTTGCAAGTTATATCTTACACATCAAAAAATAACAATACTTCACACACTACCTTCTTGCACCACTCTAATATAAACCATTAAATTAATAAATTTTATTGAATTAATTGAGTATTTAAAGTTATGATTATGTCACATCATGTGGTGCAAAGAAAGTGATGAACACATAATTGTTGCTCAAAAACCTATAATTTTGGTACGATATCGATAACGATACCGTAGATTTTTCCTCTATTGACCTTAGTAGATTAATCTATTCATTAGTAGGACATTCTCTCTTGTGATTATCTTTCTTATCAAAAAACTAACCCAATTAAACCTGGCTTTTATTAGGCTAGACCTTTGAGATTTTTTTAACTTTCATATATGGATTGATCCAATCGGAGAATTTGCTCCAGAGCGACTATTCTATCTAGCGCATCATCTTGTCCGTCCGGCGTTGTCTTATTTAACACCAACCAATTATCTTAAACAAAAAAATGTTGAAAGAGACTTCGAAATGTGTGGCAGATATTGAAATTATAGTAGTATCAAATTATCTATACACATATAAATATGAGGTTTTAAATATTCGATCTAAATATGACCCCTAAAATACAACTGTTGTGTGCCCAAAGAGCCAAGGTTTCATCTCCTAGCTGCCAAGTTGGTGTACTTGGACCCATATCAATGAAAGGTTCATTGACGGAATTGTCACACCCAATCAATATCTTCCAAATGGAGAGCTATAAACGTAGCATTTGAACACGTAAATCTGGGATAAATACACTGGCCCCCCTCATGGTTTGTACCTATTTTCATTGGATACCTTCATGATTATAAAATTATACTATGTGCCCTAAGATTTAGTGTTGAATTTTACAAGATGTCCATTCATTAAGTGATTGTTGATGTCTACTTTTTTTTTTCTTTCAAATATATAATTTATCATTGCTAGCCTTATATAAGCCCGAACTTCTTCTCAACTCTATCGATGAGATGAGCCCACCAAGCCTATTCAAGTCAACCTACCCACTCCAAGCCTTTTTCTACCCTCTACCTCCAAAACCATATCCACATCCATCACCTAACTTGCCATCATCATCACCATTCCTTCTTTATACCCATAACATCTATGTTCACCATAAGGCACAAGCAAACCCATGTGTAATATCAATTCCTCTAACAAAGCCACCTACCAACTACACTCTTACCAACAAGATCGTCACTTCCATTTCCATCTCTATACTCTACCTCCACCTTTACCACTAAATGTATTATTGGTGTGATGCGATTGTGTTGTTGGTGTTGCTATGACGAGGTTTGTGTCGCTGTGATGATGTAGAGACATTACTAAGAGTTATAAGGGAGAAGATAAATGATAGAGGAGAAAGAAGAGAGAGGTTAGGAATAAGAGAAGAGTCGGTGGTGTAGAGAGTTGCAAGGGAGGAAAGAAAGACAGGGCAGGTTAGGAAGGCAAAGGAGAGGATGCTGGTGCATGAAAGATGGGGTGGGAAAATGCAAGAAAGTAGGGCATTAATTGGGAGATTTTTCAATTCTAAGAGATAGTTTTGGCAGGAACCCAAATTTTTAGGCGGAAATCTACACTTTGCCTACATATCAAATTTAGAATGATCTAANTTTCTTGTTTATTTGGTTTCAGAATTAATCTGGAAAGATGGCAGACGAAAAGATTGGAATTGCCAAGGATGTTACTGAAGTACGTCTGTATCTATTTTCTTTTGTCTTTTTACAAAAATTTCTTGATGTTACTGAAGTACGTCTGTATCTATTTTCTTTTGTCTTTTTACAAAAATTTCTTTCTTAAGCAGCTTGGTTTGATCAATCTTTTCATCTTTGTTACTTTGATATACAGTTGATTGGTAAAACCCCATTGGTATTTCTCAACCATGTTGCGGATGGTTGTGTTGCACGTATTGCGGCCAAGCTTGAAATGATGGAGCCATGCTCTAGTGTTAAAGACAGGTATTTATTGAGGTTCCTTTTGGATTTATATAAGACTAGTGTGTGGAGTTTTCTTTGTTGTCATAGCAGACTGAGGGATGCTATCTATCCACCAATAGACCTGGCTTTTAGTCAAGATCTGCTCATATGCTGGGTTAGGATGGCAAATTGTGTGTTTGACGCATTGGTTGTAATCACACTTACACTTCCAAGAACTGGGACTGCACTTTTGGTTGAATTTTGAAAATAATTTGCTTATATGTCTTAAATTTTGATGAGCAGGATTGGTTATAGTATGATTGCAGATGCTGAGGAAAAGGGCCTTATCAAACCAGGAGAGGTAAGTAATTGTTATTGGTATGATGAGACCTTCAGTAGATGTGATATGTGTATATTCTCAAATTTTAGTGTTCATGTGGCTCACTAGATCTTATTTTGGGTCTATGTTGAGAAAATGGTTTAGTTATACTCATGGCCAATGTGTCCATTAGGGTATGTTTTTGACATGAGCGCACACACACATGTATCAAGAAGTGTACATTGCAAATGTTATTGATGCTTTAGTGATGGAATCCATGTAATCAGCGGTGCTCTAAATGGATCGGGTTTGGTTTGGAACCTTTTGGCGATGACCATGACTTTGTTCTGATTACCATCTATCATATATTGGCAGAATCTTTTTTAGCTGATAAAACAAATGAATCAAACATTTTTTTGTCAACTGTGGCTGCAGAGTGTACTCATTGAGCCAACGAGTGGTAACACTGGCATAGGCTTGGCATTCATGGCAGCAGCTAAGGGTTACAAACTTATCATTACAATGCCAGCTTCGATGAGTCTTGAAAGAAGAATTATTCTCCGTGCTTTTGGTGCTGAGTTGGTGCTCACAGATCCAGCTAAGGGAATGATAGGTGCGGTTCGAAAAGCAGAAGAGATATTGGCTAAGACACCCAATGCCTATATACTTCAGCAGTTTGAAAACCCTGCCAACCCAAAGGTATACCCATCAAGTAACTGTTTTTGAGTTTTGGCTGACGTGATTTCTAATTGGAAATGTTATGTTAATTATTGCTATTGTACATGCAGATACATTATGAAACCACTGGACCGGAGATCTGGAAAGGTTCAAATGGGAAAATTGATGCATTTGTTTCTGGTATTGGTACGGGGGGTACAATAACCGGAGCAGGCCAATTCCTTAAAGAGCAGAATCCTGACATAAAGGTTAGCTTGACTTTCTTGTATTTGTTTCTGATTAATTGCGATTGATAATTCGTGTCTGGTACAGCATTAACTGTAATTTTATGTCTGTAAATATTCTTATTCTGTTGTCTGACTTGGGTTTCAATATTAGCTGTATGGTGTGGAACCAGCTGAAAGTCATGTTTTAACTGGAGGAAAGCCTGGTGAGTTTTTCTTGAATAACTTGGCACCTTTCTTTTCTGTCTTCTTATTTCACGGAAATCACCTTGGTGCATTCTTTCAAATTCTTGTTCGTGCTTACTTTAACCAAAAGAAAAGTCTTTCTTTGGTGGTTTTTTAGTCATTATATCTATTCATGGAACACGTGATAATCTAATGGTTCTTACTCGTGAGATCCTTGGGCTTATTTTATTGAATCATCGTGGTTCGACTATGAATTTGAGGTTTAATGGATTAATAGGGTCTTAACAAGAGGATTCCTATCAATAATAAAGAAAAAAAATAAGAAAAGCNTTATCGGGTTTTGAATGTTGCGATGATCTCGATGCTACACTGAAACAATTTAAAAGTCGTTGTTAGTTGATGTGCAATTTTCAATTTGTTTGTGTCTTCGTTTTCAACGAGGCTTTGGTTGAATTTCTTGGAGATGGAAGAAATGTTGTAAATATTTTAATTAAATTTCTTGTATTTATTGGATTTTTTGTGTTTGTTTATATGTATAAGAAGATAATTTTGGTAGGTGGTGAAAGAAATATTATTTTATCCGTCTTGGTTTTTCTGAATTAGAAAGTTTGCCATCTATACAAATGAATAATTTGTATATAATTGCTTGAGAGTTTGTCTCTCAGTTCCTGAGGAAGGTTGTAAAGGTATATATATATATATACACACATATATATCTATATGCATATGTGTGTTTTTGTGGGTTCATTCTACTATAGAAAACTTTAAGAAGTGACGCAGCTGTAGACTTTGAGAGAAAGTTTTGTTTCTTGTTTATTTGGTTTCAGAATTAATCTGGAAAGATGGCAGACGAAAAGATTGGAATTGCCAAGGATGTTACTGAAGTACGTCTGTATCTATTTTCTTTTGTCTTTTTACAAAAATTTCTTGATTAAGCAGCTTGGTTTGATCAATCTTTTCATCTTTGTTACTTTGATATACAGTTGATTGGTAAAACCCCATTGGTATTTCTCAACCATGTTGTGGATGGTTGTGTTGCACGTATTGCGGCCAAGCTTGAAATGATGGAGCCATGCTCTAGTGTTAAAGACAGGTATTTATTGAGGTTCCTTTTGGATTTATATAAGACTAGTGTGTGGAGTTTTCTTTGTTGTCATAGCAGACTGAGGGATGCTATCTATCCACCAATAGACCTGGCTTTTAGTCAAGATCTGCTCATATGCTGGGTTAGGATGGCAAATTGTGTGTTTGACGCATTGGTTGTAATCACACTTACACTTCCAAGAACTGGGACTGCACTTTTGGTTGAATTTTGAAAATAATTTGCTTATATGTCTTAAATTTTGATGAGCAGGATTGGTTATAGTATGATTGCAGATGCTGAGGAAAAGGGCCTTATCAAACCAGGAGAGGTAAGTAATTGTTATTGGTATGATGAGACCTTCAGTAGATGTGATATGTGTATATTCTCAAATTTTAGTGTTCATGTGGCTCACTAGATCTTATTTTGGGTCTATGTTGAGAAAATGGTTTAGTTATACTCATGGCCAATGTGTCCATTAGGGTATGTTTTTGACATGAGCGCACACACACATGTATCAAGAAGTGTACATTGCAAATGTTATTGATGCTTTAGTGATGGAATCCATGTAATCAGCGGTGCTCTAAATGGATCGGGTTTGGTTTGGAACCTTTTGGCGATGACCATGACTTTGTTCTGATTACCATCTATCATATATTGGCAGAATCTTTTTTAGCTGATAAAACAAATGAATCAAACATTTTTTTGTCAACTGTGGCTGCAGAGTGTACTCATTGAGCCAACGAGTGGTAACACTGGCATAGGCTTGGCATTCATGGCAGCAGCTAAGGGTTACAAACTTATCATTACAATGCCAGCTTCGATGAGTCTTGAAAGAAGAATTATTCTCCGTGCTTTTGGTGCTGAGTTGGTGCTCACAGATCCAGCTAAGGGAATGATAGGTGCGGTTCGAAAAGCAGAAGAGATATTGGCTAAGACACCCAATGCCTATATACTTCAGCAGTTTGACAACCCTGCCAACCCAAAGGTATACCCATCAAGTAACTGTTTTTGAGTTTTGGCTGACGTGATTTCTAATTGGAAATGTTATGTTAATTATTGCTATTGTACATGCAGATACATTATGAAACCACTGGACCAGAGATCTGGAAAGGTTCAAATGGGAAAATTGATGCATTTGTTTCTGGTATTGGTACGGGGGGTACAATAACCGGAGCAGGCCAATTCCTTAAAGAGCAGAATCCTGACATAAAGGTTAGCTTGACTTTCTTGTATTTGTTTCTGATTAATTGCGATTGATAATTCGTGTCTGGTACAGCATTAACTGTAATTTTATGTCTGTAAATATTCTTTTTCTGTTGTCTGACTTGGGTTTCAATATTAGCTGTATGGTGTGGAACCAGCTGAAAGTCATGTTTTAACTGGAGGAAAGCCTGGTGAGTTTTTCTTGAATAACTTGGCACCTTTCTTTTCTGTCTTCTTATTTCACGGAAATCACCTTGGTGCATTCTTTCAAATTCTTGTTTATGCTTACTTTAACCAAAAGAAAAGTCTTTCTTTGGTGGTTTTTTAGTCATTATATCTATTCATGGAACACGTGATAATCTAATGCTTCTTACTCGTGAGATCCTTGGGCTTATTTTATTGAATCATCATGGTTCAACTATGAATTTGAGGTTTAATGGATTAATAGGGTCTTAACAAGAGGATTCCTATCAATAATAAAGAAAAAAAATAAGAAAAGCCACATTACACACAAAAACAAATCAAAGAAGAAGAAATAGGGGAAGAAAGGATTCAAGATGCCCGTAAGGATCAAGATAATGATGAGAGCCAACTTGATATTTTGGTATTATAGCCACAAAGAAGAACTTTCAGATTTTTCTTACTTCCTAAGAGAAGATTGAATCGGAGAGTTAGAAGTTTCAAACTTTCTATTACACATCAGTTGCAACTAGTATTTGGGTGCATTTGTTTGAGCTGTACGAGTTGAAAGTCTCATATAAGGTTCTCAGAGGAGGGGTCCCATCTATTTCAATAAAGTCTATAATTGGTTTGAAGAATGTCTCGAGATTCAGGTGATTGCAGATGATATAACTAGAAAGTAAGTGCCTCCGCATGCGAACTATTTTACTGTCTAGGAGGTATTACACTTGTTTTTCAGTTCAAGACTTCAAGTGGCTATGGGATTTGATACAACTTTTTACTATCGTCCGACAGTTGAAGCATGTTTTATGCTTTACAGTTTTTCCCTGCCTAACATCAACATGTTTTTCCTTGCCTAACATTATCATCTTTTGCAATTAGATTGTCAGTGATTCTATCCAAATATCAATTGCATAGTCTCTTAATATTATTGATGTTTTATGCTACCTTCTTATGCGAGATTCAAGCTCTTGGGCATGCATGTCTACCTGGTGGGCTTTGCATGTTTTTAGGGACCGCACATTTAGTCCTAGTATTGCATTAGGCAGATGACCTACCGTGCAAATATAAAGAACCTTATTTGAATTAAATGTTCTAGTAATTTGCCATCATAGCCAAAACATGAGAAAATGCAGTAAAAGGTCACATGCTTTCATATATGTGACTATATGGCCATGATTTTAGTTAGGGTCCTTTTCCTAAGTAGGTTGCCTCCTTCAAGTTTGTGGGTGTCATTATATTTTATCATCTGCTGGGTAATTTTGACCATTGCTGGTTGTTATATTCGATTCGTGTTAACACAATACTGCTTTTGCTTGGGTTTAATGGTTTTTTTGGTGCTTAAAATTCCAATTAATTTATGAAAAGAATGTTAAGCCAATATATATATATATATGTATAATGTTATATGCTCCTATTTATGTGTTTCCCTTAAACTTCTACGTGATGATGTCTTTTATTAAATATATCAACTATTTTTACTTTGCATGGGAAATTTAAGTTGTTGATGAATTGCATTTTTGTGATGCCAAAGGTCCACATAAGATCCAGGGAATTGGTGCTGGTTTTGTTCCTGCTGTTTTGCAAGTCGATATTGTTGACGAAGTTATTCAGGTGAGACCTAAAAGTTTCTAATTATCCATTCCTGTTTATTTGGTTATTAATTACACTCCAAAGTGGATCAATGTAATATTTTTATATGTGCGCGTGCAGGTGTTACTGTTTATTTATAAACTTTTATAGGTCTATTAATTACCTTTGGCTGCTCTGTTTGTTTTTTTTGTCTGTTAAGCATCATGTTTGTGTGGTTTCTCAGGTTTCAAGTGATGAAGCCATAGAAACTGCAAAGCTCCTTGCAGTGAAAGAAGGTTTGCTGGTAAGTTCACAATCTTCTCGAGTGTTTGGTTTTTTCTGAGATCTGACAGGGTTTCCATCATGCCACTATTTATAGTTCTGTCCTGCACATTTCCTATTTCTTCTTTTCAGCTTTGATAATGGAAAAATCTATTGCAGGTGGGGATATCATCTGGTGCTGCAGCTGCAGCTGCTATTAGGATCGCAAAGAAGCCTGAAAATGCCGGAAAACTTATTGTTGTAAGTTTGTTCTTTCCTTCTAAATTGGAATTAATATACAATTTGGCTGAGCAAATGAGAAATTTATTGTAGAACATGGTTTGAGGCCGTGGGAAAGATATGGTGGCCTATGATTTTGATAGAAGATACATTACTTTAGGCAGGAATGAGTGGCATTGCTGAACCAAAAGTAGATTTTTTTTTTGATCAGGCAAAAGTAAATATTTCATTGAAGTACGAAAAACCAAATTACAATCAGTCAAGATAGAAGCCTTAAGCTCGGGTGAGGGAGAACCTAGCCAACTAAGCGGAAGCGAGTTGTTCATAGCAGCGGCTGCCACCCAGTGAGCAGCATTGTTACCGGCTCTAGGCTTGTGTAGAAAGCTAAAGTTATATAACCTAGCATAGTATCTGATATCTTCCACAAAAACATTAATTTCCCACGGGGGAGCATTCTCAGTGGTGCTCAGCTTGATAATGTTGAAGCAGTCATTCATGATTGTGATATTTGCCAAAAGTAGATGGACTATTGCCTTTTTGCATTGTGAATCGATCTTGTATTACTGCTGGCATAATGTTGCATATGAACCATCTGATTGTCCAGTGTGACAATATCTTGGCATATAATTAATCAACCTGGCTTAATTATTGTACACAAATTAAGACTAGTGGACCAGAAATGTCTAGGTGTTTGGTAATCTGACTGATGTACAAAGGACAAAGTTGGGGTCAGTCCATTTTGTCCATAGCCTCTGCGCTCGAGAATGGGCAAATGGAGCTGTCGAACTGTATTAGTGGTTTTATTTACACTCTAATCCCGAAGGCAATACTTACCTAATTATCTTTGGATTTTACATATAGGAAAGATTTTTAGATACTTGAAGCTGATTATACTGATTCTACTGAACTTCATGTATATCCAAAGCTAGTTTGTGGATGAACATGAAGAAGCAATTGCTAGAAGGCAAATCCCAAATCTCAGCTTTTATAAGTTTCAGGGTAGAATTTGACTATAAAGGGCAGTTTTGGTCACTAAAAAATGGCAATTTTCGAGAGAAACTACTCCCTCCTAACCAACAGCACTTTTTGAGTGCATCTGGTGCACATTCGGTCAATTTGGGGTGAAAATCCTTTTTGTTCCATTTTGGTCCAGAACACCAAGGAGGTTAGGTGGACGTTTTTAAAGTTTAGGGAGGTGATGTTACTGGTGGACCAAACAACGGGGGAAGAAAATATTGAACCATATTATAGATTACCTTTCTTGTACTTAGAATTTTCACCCTTATTTATCTTGCCCGTTTGTCTGTGTAATTATGCAGGTGGTTTTTCCAAGCTTTGGGGAGCGGTATCTATCCTCTGTCCTGTTTGAATCAGTGAGACGGGAGGCAGAGAACATGACTTTTGAAACCTGAGTTGTTTCCTTGTCTCAAAAAAAAAAAAAAAATTGGTGAAATGCTCTTTTCAACGGTTTAGTTGTGCGGTTTCCTGGAGGAGGAGGAGTACTTTGGTTCTTCCTGGATGTCTCATAAGGTTGTTTAGAACAACATGATGTCTTTTGCCTTGTTGCTGAACTTACTACTCTAAGATTTGTCCTGGAACTGTTGATCTGAGGATAATATTTCCAATGCTTTTGTTTGTTCATTGTATGAATTGAGGGTTCATTTGTGGCCTCTCTTTGAAGCAATTTCTCAAAATTTAGCTCCACACTGATGTGATTTTCTTAGCATGATATTCACTGTTGTTCCCTGTGATTTATACAATGGGAAAGGATACGGACCGTACCAAAAATTATAATTTTTTAAAGGTATAAATTACAATTTAATAGGCATATTCGATCATGAAAGATTGAGATCGATACCGAGAGTTTATGATTGATGATAGGTGTCTGTGATCGATTAATATTTTTCCTTAAAACAGTTATAACTATTTCTTTCAAAATTATAATTTTACTATAAAAAATAATAATCGATGGTATCAGTATCCAAGTAATTCCTTTCTTGTAATGGCAATGATTTCTGCGGAACAGAAAGTAGAATTGCCCGATACTTGGCCCATAAAGTAATTTGCAAATGACCAATTCTCTGTCGGTCAACAAATGCTTGTCTTTAACATCTTCTATGCATCCTTTTTCTGGTCCAATCAGCGTGGCTAATGTCCGATGCTCGTGATTTGTAAGTGATTTATGCATCTAAGTTTGTCTCATTGTCTTGTAAGTGATTTATGCATCTAAGTTTGTCTCATTGTCTTTGAGATCGCATAGGATAGGACGTTGAGACATTTCTCCATTATGAAAAATAGAAAAAGATGACTTAGTTGGGATAATATAATTGGCCCAAGTTACCCGCTCAAAGTTTTTATAATTGTTGCTTTGGATTGAAGCATGCATCAAACCTAAGTTTGTATATCATGTGGGTGCCAATGANGAAGTTACCTGCTCAAAGTTTTTATAATTGTTGCTTTTGATTGAAAAATGCATCAAACCTAAGTTTGTATATCATGTGGGTGCCAATGATCAAAAATTTGTTTCAAAACTGTTGAAATGACGGAAATATTTATATTTTTTAGGCTACCGAAATAAATTAATAATTGAACTGAAATTTTAATATTTTAAGATATTTCGGGATGTTTCCAAGTGTTGCGAGATATTTTGACATCTTTTCCACCAATGTTTGATGATGTGTCGAGGTTTTCAAGACGTTTTATATATTTTGACCAATATTTTGAAATGTTTTAAAAATAAGTTTTTTAAATTTTTTTTATGCGTTTTTGTTCTATTTTCAAAATGTTTTCGAAATATTTTTGTTTTTTAAGTGATCAAAACAATGTACAAAAATAAAATTTTAATCCTCGGTGGATGCATATTTTTTATTTTTTGGCATTTTTGTGAACTCGTAAGAGTGTGGAAATGATAGCCGTTATGCCCCTATCATACGATGCATTCAATCCCGTTATTTTTATTCTCAACTTAACTCAACAAAAATTTTATCGAATTAAAATTCATAACTTTTAAAGCTTTGGACTACAACTTATTTTACAAGTGGTACTTCTGTTAGTAACCAGTGTTACTGCTGTGTCTGAAGCAGGTCACCAAGCTTGTGGAACATGTCGGAGGAGAATTAAAGCAAGTGGGCTAAAATAGAATAACGAAAACATTTGGGCGGTATAATTTGACTCCTAATAACATTATTAAAATACAGAACAAGCCCCTGTTAATAGTTTAATTGCCCTAATCTACCGCTTGTGTCGTCAATCTTCTGCCCCTCTCTCTCTCTCTCACCTCTCCCTTTACAGCGCCGGCGATCACTGACCACCAAAGCGGCCATAGCAGCTCCGACGACTTCCAGGTAAGGCCTTTTTCCTACCTCTTTCTTTTCTAGTCAAAGCCCTAAGCCTGGACTCTCCACAGCCTGGCACCGACCCAATCTATCACCGCCGGTGATGAGAGGCCAAAGCATAAAATGAGGCCCTAAGGACCTTCAAGCAATTAGGAATTAGTTTTGGGGAATCAAATTAGTAGAAACAACTGGAAAACAAGAAATAAGTTCGATTCACAATCTATTAGCTAGACAAGATGTAGCAATACAAAGGTGGGAATTTGAATCCCCCTTGAAAACCTAAAAAAAAAATAAAATTGAGTAAAGAGTTGTTATAACTTATAAGCATTTTACATGGGGTATAGATGTGAATTTTGTCTTTGTAATCATCTGTAAAAGTTGTGTATTGTACTGTGCTTTGATAAAAACATTATGGTTAAAATCCTTATTAGGGTTTTAAAGGACGAAAAATATTGAAAGACAAATACTAGTTTGTTGTTTTTTCTATGCTATCTCTGTGGGTTTTGGATATTGATTTCCCCCCCTAGCTATGGGTCATTTAGGGGCTCCATTTTCATGCACATACGTCTTATTCTGTATAAGAGAGTTTTTAGTTATCAATCCATAAGGATTTTACCAAGTTCTATAAGGGTGTGTTGCCAAGGCATGGGTGTTATATATCCTGCAGATGAAAGCTTCCTCTGAATGATATCTATGCTTGCTAAATCATTTGGGAACATTGATTTATATTGGAGGAATCAGTACTCCAGGAAGAGAGGGGGTGGACGTGCGTAATTGTTCGTGGGGGAGTTCTAATCTAAGCAAGCTTGTTTATTCTATGTTATTGAGAAATCGGTATTTCCCCCAAACCGCTAGCTGTCATACGCCTCAAAACTTCTAATGTTGTTCTGCCTCCAAACGGAGAGCTCAATCCCTTGCGGCTGAATTTCCCGATTCCTAGCTTTCGTACCAGATGATTGCCACTACCACGTTCTCAGCAAATTCTTTTCAATGCGAATATAGGCCTTGCATCCATAGCTATCTTTTTTGTCTCTCAAATATATGTAACATGGTGAATAACAGATATCTTGTGAGCTCCAACATTAATTGGCTTAATGGTTTTAGTGAACAATTCATATTTGCCTGTTGCAGTGATTCTGATACTTTTTTTCGCCAACATCAGTATATGGAAAATATGTAATGAACTATCTGCCACCAAATCTGATAATGAGGAACCCTCGCGTGGCGGGGCACCCAAAACACAACCTTCTCACTTGACAAAACCTATTTAACACTCTGTCAACTCTTAGAAATCTGTCTATTTGGAAATTATCATTACTTGTAATACTCAAATTAAGTGATAGGATGCAGGTTATTCGTTTGTAAACTTGAGATACCCCAGTTTCTTTCATATTATTTGGCATAATTGCTGTTAAATATTTGACCTGTAGAAACATGAGAATGTTGGTTGATAGATTCTTCCATTTTGTTCGACTAGAATCATGGCTGGCAAATTTGAAGGTGAGGAACCAATAAATGAGCAAGCGGTCGCCAACATGTATGGTGCCATGAGGGCGGAAATCGACCAAATTTACTCGAAAATTACTGAACTAGAGATGGAAGTTAGTGAGCACTCTTTGGTGATTAGTGCCATACAACCACTTGATCCATCAAGGCGGTGCTACCGGATGATTGGAGGTGTGCTTGTGGAGAGAACCATCAAAGAGGTCTTACCAGCTGTTCAGCGCAATAAGGAGGGGCTTGAAGAGGTTATTGCTCGGCTTAATGAGGCCTTGGAAAAGAAGAAAAAAGAAATGAATGAATTTGAAGCTAAATACAAAATTAGGATCAGAAAAGCTGATGATGAAGTAATGAATGAGAATGGCAGAAAGGAAGGGTCTGCACAGGGAGTCCTTGTCGGTCCTGCTGGTGCAAATGAATAGATCGATGTTGTGTTGTTTGAGTTCGTTTACATGTAATTGTCTTCAACGTGGTAAATGAGAGTAATGTAGATGAATTATGAGTGCTTAGGCTTTGTATTGTTGAATCACTACATGTTTATAGTTCACTGTTGCACTATGGTCACCTTTTCATTTTGTGAATTTCTGTTTCCATTTGATCAATAGCAGAACCTGTAAGAGATGATTTAGTTAGTTCAAGGAAGCACCAAGGAAAATGTAAGATATTATTTAGTAAGTTCAAGGAAGCACCAAGGAAAACGTTCAATAGTTGAGCTTGACCTCTGTAATTTGAAGGTTTCAGGTTCAATTGTTTTCCTCATTCTCTAAAGGCTAGTCACTCTTGTTCTTTAGGGATATGCTCTAACTCAATTCAAGCCATGGTGGCAATCACTGAGTTTGAGAGAGTAGTCGGCACAAATTTAAACACCTTGTAACAATAAAAAGAGGAAAACTTTATCAACCAAAAATGGCCTTCACTTGTAGCAAAAAGAGTAGATATACAGCCACATCATTGGTAATTTGCATATATTCTCTGCCCGTGCTTTTCCCTTAGGAAGTGGTAGCACCTCAGGAGGCTGTGAGATTTTCAAATGTTTATGTAAAATAGAAGAGTAATGATTCATTACTTTTATAACTACAGTAATGCTAGACTGATCAAATTTTTGGACTAAATTTAGAGCCCAAATGACATGGCGGTTGACTTGGGCTTTTTTGATTGGTATCATGTCATTTGGGCTCCAATAAAAATTTCAAATAATCAATTGTCATATCATTTGAGCTCTAAATTTAGTCCCAAAATTTGGTCAGTGTAGCATTACTCTTATAACTATTGAATAGATAGTGAGTCTTGATAAATGTTGAAACCCACAATAAAATCAATTGTTATAATTATCAAGTTTATTTTTTAAATTCATGTAACATTGCTCAAAATAGAATAGAGAGTGAGTTAGACTTTGAAAATGTAGAGAGTCAAATAAGACTATCTATTTTAGTTAGTTTAAATAAATAGTGGATTTGCATTTGATTTTTGGTAGTTAATTCTTTAAAACAGAGAATTGAATAAAAAAAAAGGAGTCTATTGTAGATGTTTAGAAAACATCTTTCTAAAATCGAAAATGATAAAATTATGCTAGCCAAATTTGTTTACCAAATTTTGTATCCTAAATAATATGTCAAAATCTTTTACATTAAATTTTTGGTGGATTTAGTGAATCTCGCCGATTCAATCACTGACACTGATTTGAAATATAAATTTTGATAAATAATTTGGTACTGTTTTTGAAATTATAATAATGAGGCCAAAGTGTACTTAGATATTTTCAGATTTGAAAGAAAACCATTCCCAAGGTAGAAGCTAACCCAGGAAATTGAATGAGACAACGAAGTATCAGAGGCCAACAAAACTGAAACAAAGAGCTACAAACAAAACATTGCAGTACTACAGGAGCAAACAAGTTTCCCAGATCATTCTATCTTTCTGTTACTTTTTTTGAACAGTACTGTTTGAAGTAAATGAGTTTGTGAATGCTGTTTGCGACACTGTTTTTAGTTAGTTTGCAATTATATAATATTTAGTTACGACTTAAACAGATTAAGTATAACTCAATGAATCACTTAGAATCAATCTTAAAATGATGGAGTTGATTCCAAGGCTCTAAGATAGATTAGGGTACTTTTAGAATCAGTCTCAAAATTTAGTTACTCTAGCAAAATTATTGGAATTTGTTCAAATCATAACTTGAACCAATTAAGTTGGTTATAATTTTTTTAAAATTTTTTTTCGTATAGTATGATAATATTTTTTTAAAGATAATATTTGAAATCAACCGTAAGAGATATTTGGATTAACTTATACGCACCTCGATTAATCTCTTCTTCAATCTAATCAAAAATAAATCATCTATGCCGCAATTAAGATATTCATGAGGGATAAATCCCTCATGATCTAATCTTAAAAAATTGTAAAAATTTAAACTTAACATATTTAAATTTATAACTCATTTTAGTTAAAGTGATGGAGGTCGTTACATAAATTTATTTGAGACTGTCGAATAGACTTATTGAAGTTTATCATATTTAATATTATATATTTGACGGTTGACACAAATAAAAGTAATATTCTATAATATTTAATTTTCTTACAAATTTTATATTTTACTCTTTTTTTTGTTATATATTCCACAATTTTTGAATCAAAGGAATTTCTAAGAAATCAATTTTAGTTTGATAATTTTAAGAGATTTGGTATGAATTTTTTTTTTTTTTGTTTTGTCCTTGTATCCAACTTATTTGACCCAATTAATTTTTTTTTTTCATAAATCATTACAACGGGCCCAAATAAGAATATATATATAAAATATAAAATAGGATGGATTTAACAAGTCGATCTTACGGTCTCAAATTTATTTATCCAACGGTCAAGAAATTATAATTTTTTTCCTTAATATTTCCTCTCCCAAAAAGTTAACGATTATGACTGATCTTAAAATACATCTTACAGTCTCAAATTTATTCATATAACAGTTATTAATTTATTACCGTTGACTTTATAGATTAATCCAACGATTATAGATGTGCTGATAGTCGCTCCAGAGAGTTACATGCTATGTCTTTCTTTTGAATTGTTTGCATTGAATTTTAATAGCTAGATTAAATTCTCCGAATTGATTTACCATTTTCATAGAGGATATAATTGATGACTCAGAAGTCACAAATTATCGGATTCTCACTTGAAATCTTGCTTGAATCCTCTTTTATCCGTCTCTTAGAACATCTTCAACCCTGATTCAAATTTTTATTCAAATTTAAATTAATATTTGAATAAAAAATTTTATTTGATATAAAACACTCCAATGGACAAACTCAAATTTAAAGAAGGATAGATCCAAATTTAAATGAGAGCAAATCCAAATTTAAAAGGGAGTAAGGATAACCATTAGATCTTTAAAAGATGGTGAAATCTCACCATTAAAAATTTAAGTAAAAATTTGAGTCTCCTTTTATTTGAGTAAAAAAATTAGTTTTTTTTAATTTGATATAAGTTTGAGTCAAAGATTGTAGCAAATTTTTTAAATTTTTTTACTTAAATTTCAATTTGCGTCTAAATTTGAGTAAGAGTTGAAGATGCTCTTAACAGTTAAAATTGATCTAATTTTATTTATTTTAATACAATAATACAAAATTTATTCTAATTTTTTTTTTCAACTCAAAAATATCATTTCGGCTTTCAATGTTGAATAACTCTATCAATACAATCTTTAATGTCAAATAATCCCATTAATTTACACAATTCCCCCCCTTATTTTCTCTTTATTCACTCTAGTTTTAAGGTGCATAATTAAAATAATTAATTTATTTTTAAAATATAATATATTGTGCAATCAATATTTAATTTTACATTGGCAAGTGTTTATTGCCAATAACCGAGACAAATGTCAAATGTTATATATCAAATTTAAATTTAAAAGTCTACGTGACAATTGGACATATAATATTTGACATCTTCACCTTACACTTCAACCGATATGTCAAATGTTATATTTTAAATTTAATGTAAGTAATGCTACATAGATTTAAAAATTAGATTTGATAATTACAGTTATTAATTTTATTGTGGGTCCTAATAAATACTGAGACCCACATTAAATTCAATTAATATAATTTTTAAATTTAATTTTTAAATTCATGTAATATTATTTTTTATGTAAAATATGAATAAAAATTTGTGATATATTAAGATTTAACATGAGAGAGATATTTGATAGAACGTCAAAATTTAATCAGTACTTAGGACTTGACATAAAAGTAACTTAGAAAGTTACATCCATCGAGGCCTGTACTTCCCATGCCTTCCTTGGCTAAGAAAAAAAAAAGCATATCTTTCTCGCCATTCCATGGGTAACCCAAAAAAGAGGACAGAAAAGAAAAGGGCAGGAGAGAGAAAGAGATTCACACCAGCCGCCGTGATGTGGCACAGTACTGGTGTTGGTCTTCAGTTTTCCGGCTACTGTTGGTAGTTGTTGATGACATGATGAGAGAAATGACAAGATCTGCGAAAGCACGGACAATGATCTTGTGGGTGTGTTTAGGGTTCAGAGTTAAATAACTTGAGAGAAGTTTATGCAACAAATCCCAGTCAGTCTTTACGTCAGTCAGCTGGTGTGCTTCCACCATCTCCTGCATTGATCTCCGGAAGTCACAATATGGGTCCGGCGAGAATGTATGAACGGCGACACCGCCGTTAACTACCGGGTCAGACTCCGTCGCGGATTCCCGTGATTCAACGATGGAATTGGAGCGGCCGGGGGAGGAGAAAAAGAAGCGTTGAGAGGCGAAAACGGTGGTGATGTCCGGTAAGTTTTCAGGGTCGGAGTAGTCTGATGAAGTGAAGAAGTCATCCGTGGAAGAGGTGAGAGACTTGGAGCTGGAGTCCGAGGTGAGTTCGTAGAGGGCATTGAAGTTTTTCATTAGGTTTGGTGTGATGGAGTTGATGGATGAGGTGTGGTGGTTTTGATCTGAAGGTGGGGATAGAGCTGTGCGTAAGCAGCTCAATTTGGGGATGCAGAGGTGGAAGTTTTTCAACAAGATGCTGGACATTTTCAGTATCTTGTGGGGGAGAGAGGAGATATATATGATGGTTGTCTGGATCGCTTGCACGTGTGTTAAAAAAGATATAATCGATCTTAAAAAATTATGATTGATATCGAGAGTTTATGATTAATTATAAGTGTTTAAAATTGATCATATGACCAACTATAATTTCTCCTATTAAAGTTTTTTTGGTACAATAGACTTTTTTGCATGAAGATAGGAGTGCAACTCGGGTGAGTTGGACAAGTTGGACACTCAATCTTAAATATATAATCTTCAACTCTAACTTTAAGCCTAACCCTACGTCGGATTGAGAAACTCAACCCGAGCACTGCCTGAATTTAATTCGGTCGAACTCGAGTTGAATTCAGGTTAATAATTTAGGATTGATTTCAAGTTATTTTACAGGTTCAATTCGAATTCAGTTCGGGTAGAGTCTAAAATAAGTTTGTTGTTCTAAATCTAATACATATATTCCATAATATTCATCTAAATTAACAATCAATAACTTCAACTAAGATTTTAACAGTGTTAATGCTAGAACAAAAATGAAAATGAACGAGAGAGACATAGAACGATATAACAAAAATGAAAAATCAGTGCTAATGTTTTATATATATAATTTTTTTTTAATTTATCGGATTTCGGTTAAACCCGAGGCCTTAACCCGAATTCAATCCAAATTAAATTCGAGTTAGAATTTTTTAACTCAAACTCAATCCAAATATTAAAAACTCTTACCTAAATCTTAATTTTTTTTAGATTGAATTTGGATTAAAATCGAATTGTTCGACCCAAATTACACCCCTACACGAAGATATATAACATTGCATGGTAGGGTATCTTTGTATGCAGCTGTAGAAAAGAACAATTGTCCTGGCTACCTAAGCTGTCCTGAGGTTAACCCATCAATCTTCATAGTCCTTTACAGTGATGTGGCTCACGAGGGACTTCTCCTGGTGACAGCCTTTTTTCAAATGTTTGTATGTGGGGGGGTTCAGTACATTTCTGAATCTTAGCTCCGATGCTGGGTTTACATCAATTATAGTACACTAACCTATAATATATAAATTTGGTATTTACGATGCAGTGCAACTGTGCAATTGTTGCCAGATTGGTGTGTCTAGTGATGCAATACTCTTCCATAGCTATCGCATCTAATTATTCTTTACAAGAATTCGTTCTGTGAAGAATTTAGTTTTTATTACTATTTATGAGTCATTGCTTTATTATTTTCTAAGAGCTCTAGTGCCTGGGCCCCGTTTTTCTATTTTCTTGAGTTGCGTTCTATGATTTCAATGTTAATAGTCCATCAATTTTTTTGAGTGCCATGAATAATTTCTTCAAAATTTCACTCAGGATCGTTAGTTTTTGACTTTAAGACCATTTGTTGGGGGATTAGGAAATCCAATGATCAAAGAAGCACATGTCTAAAACTTATATCCACTTAGAAACTTAAATTTATAGGCGATGAATCCATCGACAATATATTATGACATTTTAACTTATCATGTGAAATTTTTACAGATGTCAGATCCAACAATCTTCTACTTGAATCACATCAGACTTAACTTCTCTTTTAATCGAATCCATCATTCTCCATAAATTTTGTATTCAATTATTCTTTATAAGAGTCCGCTCTTTTAAGAATTAAACTTTTACTTTTTTTTAACAAGTCACTACATTACCGTTCCACTAAAAGTCCATGGGCTCAAGCGCATGCTCTACTCTTTTTTTTATAGTTTCATTTTCATCACTTCAATACCAAGAGTCAATCACTTTTTCTAAAACTCATCTTTAATGCCGACACGTTATGCCATTTCTTCAAAAGTTCATACAAAATTGTCCATTATTAGCTTTGATAACACTTATTGGAAGACCCAATAATTGTCAATAATTACATGAAAAGAAAATTATTTCAAATAGAGAGAATATATTAATTTATATAATTATGTAGAAAATTCGTTATGTATATCCTTGAGTGCAATTGTTTGGTACTATATCATAATAATAGAATCATATATATATCGACACCAAAACTCTAATGACTTGTACATTGAAATTTTTTTTAATATAACTACCGAGTGAGGTGGTACAGTAGAGTACTGATCAAATTTCTTACCTTGAGATTGAATGTTCAAGTCATAGAATTCACATTAGAGATCAGTAATTGACTGTTATGCTAGTTTTTCTAGGTTCGTTCCAAAGAAGAGTAACGGACATAGTCAAACACCTCATTATTCCACCAATGAGAACCTATTGGAGTAGTCTCTATACACTTTCTTTTGTCCGTATCCCTTTTCTCAATAGCAATAAAATACCTAATACACCTTTGTGCATAACAAAAACCCAAGTTCCCCTTTTTATATCCCAAACCAGACCCCCCCCCCCCCCAAAAAAAAAAAAAAAAAAAATTTTTTCCCCC